CCCTGCAGAAACACCTAGAATGTCCTATGGAATTCTACGCAATGGAATTTTACCTCTACCTTTAAGAAAAGGGATCGATTTCAAATGTCACAGGTTATCAGATAACTTATTATTGCTAAACACTAGTGGAGAGAAAAAAAAATCTTAAAAAACGTTAGAAAGTGATAAGATTACTTACGAAATACTGAGGTCTCAGGAAAACTTAAAAAAAAAAAAAAAATCAAGCTCAGTGCCTGTAGCTCAGCAGCTAGGGCACTGGCCCCATGCACTGGAGTTGGCGGTTCGAACCTGGTCTGGGCCTGCCAAACAACAACGACAACCAAAAAATAGCTGGGCATTGTGGCAGGCACCCGTATCCCATCTGCTTGGGAGGCTGAGGCAAGAGAATAGCTTGAGCCCAAGAGTTTGCGGTGGCTGTGAGCTGTGACACCACAGTACTCTACTGAGGGTGACATAGTAAGACTCTATCTCAAAAAAAAAAAAAAAAGATCTCAGGCTACTCAATCATCTTCCATGATAACAGTAGTAAGTCTTGTGAATCAAGAAAAATTAATAACTGATTAGGAAAGCGGATAAAACCTTTTGATATGGGTCCTCTGACACCTTAAAACTGAAATAATGCTATTAGCTTATTAACAGATTGATGTACCTATGTAATCTCCAATGATTAAAAGCCACAAAGAAAACAAATATTAAACAAGGTCTAATTATTAATAATAAACAAGAGTATTTAAGTAAAGGGAGATACATAAATGCAGAGAAAAATAATCCCTGAAGATAAAACAAAAATGAAGTACAAATGAGAGGAAACAGCTCTAAATTTCATTGTAAATTAAGGCAGCCAAATAGTGTCAATTTTAAATGCATATAGAAGAATATAAACAGGTGAGAAAAATAATAAGGAAAACTGAATGGCTCAGCGCCTGTGTCTCAAGTGGGTAAGGCGCCAGCCACATACACCTAAGGTGGTGGGTTCGAATCCCCAGCCTGGGCTCGCCAAACAACAATGATGACTGCAACCAAAAAATGGCCGGGCGTTGTGGCGGGCGCCTGTGGTCCCAGCTACTTGGGAGGCGGAGGCAGGAGACTCGCTTGAGCCCAGGAGTTGG